ATCTTCCTATAAGTACCAAAAAATTAGACTAATTTATGATTAACTGTGTCACAAAAGTTTGTTGTCCGCTTACAGTGAAAAACATAAGCAACAATTAGGATGTAAACGAGGCGAGCTGAGCTCAAACCCTTAACAAACGGACCTCTCGACTCTACTCGTTAACATGATGAGCTTATAATCGAACTCGAGCTTGACTCGTTTAACTTAAGGAGCTAAATCCAAGCCAAACAACAGAAAATACATCAAACTCTTTTTTTTTTCCGAGCCTTATCGAGCTTTATCGAGATGAGCCGAACTCAACTCGTTAACAGAATGAGTCGCTCGTGAGCTCGAGCTTAGCTCGTTTATCAAACGAGCCGAGCCAAGCATAGGAGCGACCCGTTTAATTTAACAACTCTAGCAACATATATAACCTTTTACACGTCTACAAGTATTGGTATAGTTAATTACAAAAAACTACTATGCATTTTAATAAAATCTCACCATGTAAGTCTTACTAGCTAATCAATTTCTAGATTCTCTACTATCCAGCACACACACCTTATCGACAGGTGTAGTATCCAATACGTTGTAAATCGAAGACCGAAACTCGTACGAATTAGGAGTCGTGGGGATGACATTGACCCAATCCTTGTCGACTTTCTCGACGTACGAATTACAACTGCTAACGGCTTCAAAACGAAGCTCTTTTATCCGTTTTGTCAACTTTCGGAAGAAACTCAAGGAGAATATCATTTGAAAATCTTCTTCCTGCGTGAGACCTTTGACAAGTCGGATCCCCACATTTGCATTGAGTTTGCGCGAATGAACGAGTCCAAGAAGTGCGTGCCCATCCTCACGTTTTCTTTTGGCATTGCAAAGCTGCAGGACAAAATTAAATTAATCAATAAAAATATGACCCACGGGCAAAAATCAAGATTTTCCAAGTTCTTGGGTGAGTTTGATGAATGAAAACAACGAGAATTTTTTGAAACTCGAGAATCTTCCAATTGTATTCATGAGCGAAATGCAAATTAACCCCTAATGTATATAATGCTATGTTTGGTAAGTCTGGGTGATAAGCTAGTTTATAGCTTTTAAGTGAATTTCGAGCTTATAGTTGATAACTTATGACTTATGGCTGAAAAACTAGCTTATAAGATAAAAGTGTTTTGGTAAATTACTGATAAGTTAGCTGAAATAAAAATTTGAATGAGCTTACCCATGGAAGAAGCTTATGAGATAAGCTCTAACTTTTTAAAAAAAATCGTCTTACCAAACCAAGCTTATTTCAATACAAGAAGCTTATATGCTTCCTAAACACAACCTTAGTAAAATATAACGAAGTTTCACGAGGATATTGGTCATTGAACTAAACTTCAAGGTTGTTTCGACTTCCGAAAAACGAGTCCTACAGAAGGAGAAGTATGCCAAATTATTCATTACAAGTGCTAACCTCAATATACTCGATGCCAATTTCGCTTAGTTGATCTAACAATGGCTCTTGAGATGAAAATAAGGTAATCAAGCCTCCAGATCCAATTGGTCTTTGGAGAATTTCCCAGGGTGACTTCATTAGTATCTTATGCTCTCCAAAAGTGTTACTGACAACTGGAAGCTTCCCATCTTCTAGAAACCAGACCTACCAAAAGATACGAAAACCGACGAAAAACCAATCACGAGTGAGTGAAAAATTCACACTATATATAAATGTGATTCACTTGTCATCAATCTTCTCAATAAGAAATATGCGTTTTATTTTCTAAAGGTAACTAAATTATGAAAAGCTAGGTTACTGAAAAATTATCATGTTCACAAATAAATCAGCAGTCAACTATAAAACTTTTGAATAAAAAAGGAGTATTTACTTCCAAATTTCAATAGATAGAAATAGAAATAACAACGAATAAAAAAACACTTTATCTAAGGAAAAAAAAAACACTTCATTAAAATATGTTTACATGTGATCAGTGTTACGCATGAAAGAAAAGGTCACGAAAAATTAAGCACATAGCTAAAATCAATTATTATGTACCTTTTTCGGATCAAATGCAAAGTAGTCATTATCGAGGAACAATTCCTGTAGAGAGCTCGAACCAAAAGAAGTGACCAGTACAAGAGGCACAGTTTTACGGTCTTCAATCTGCAAGATTTTGTAATGATTCAAGTTATTTGGATAAATATTAGTTGCATGAAAGTTCTTTCAGCTAATGTTTTCTGTATGAATAAGTATGATTTACTCAATATAATCAATCATGAGAATCAAGCATTACGATTTCTTTGAATATCATCATTAAGCATTTAGCTATTGTTCTCCTTTTACCTTAGCAAATCTATTCTCATCCTCGAGTAATGCTTTCATAAGCACACATAGATCCTCGTTGGCATCAGAAGTTTTCTTAATTCCATCCAACATTAAAACCATGGCAGTTTTTCCGCTAGAAGTCAAAAGGCATCCTTCTCGTTGCATTTTGGAATATGGATCAGACGGCTTTTTGCTTTTAGATACTTTTAGAGTGTTTGATCTTGGCACAACACTCAAAACATCGAGCAAGTTCAACCT